GGGCCGCGCTCCGTGGCAGCGCGCTCTTGTGCTGAGGCAGCACAACAGAGATGAGTCAGACCGGGCTGATGGGCCCTGACACGGGGCCTTCCTTTCCCGGCACCTTCTTGGACGGGAGCGTGAGGGCACCGGCCCCCTGTTAAGCTGTCGGGGGACAGGCACAGTCACATGCACGGTTCGGGCCAGGGTGCCTGCCTGTGTGGACTCAGGCAGCTGGCTCCGTGCGTGCCGCGTTCTGTGGCTTCGCTTTCTTTGAAGCCGGCGCCCAGCCTCAGAGCCCCGCAGGTCTCAGGATTGGGAGCTGCATGTGCGCGTGAACTGGTATGACTGGTGTGTGTGCGTGCGTGTGTGCGTGTGTGTGCGCTCCTAGAGTGGGAATTATGTAACGAGTTTGGTTTCACGCTGGCGAGAGAGAGAGCGCTTCCGTGCACCTTCATTTAGCCCCTTTTCCCTTTTCTTTCTTTGTTTTTCCAGTTGCACGAACGGCAAGGAAGAGGAAGCCTTCTCCAGAGCCAGAAGGTGAAGTCGGGCCCCCTAAGATCAATGGAGAGGCCCAGCCATGGCTGTCCACGTCCACAGAAGGGCTCAAGATCCCCATGACTCCCACATCCTCTTTTGTGTCTCCACCACCACCCACTGCCTCACCTCATTCCAACCGGACCACACCGCCCGAAGCGGCCCAGAATGGCCAGTCCCCCATGGCAGCCCTGATCTTAGTAGCAGACAACGCCGGGGGTAGCCATGCCTCGAAAGATGCCAACCAGGTTCACTCCACTACCAGGAGGAATAGCAGCAGTCCGCCCTCTCCGTCCTCTATGAACCAAAGAAGGCTGGGTCCCAGAGAGGTGGGGGGCCAGGGGGCGGCCAGTACAGGCGGACTGGAGCCAGTGCACCCCGCCAGCCTCCCGGACTCCTCTCTGGCAGCCACCGCCCCCCTGTGCTGCACCCTCTGCCACGAGCGGCTGGAGGACACCCACTTCGTGCAGTGCCCGTCCGTCCCTTCGCACAAGTTCTGCTTCCCTTGCTCCAGACAAAGCATCAAACAGCAGGGAGCTAGTGGAGAGGTCTATTGTCCCAGTGGGGAGAAATGCCCTCTTGTGGGCTCCAATGTCCCCTGGGCCTTTATGCAGGGGGAGATTGCAACCATTCTCGCTGGAGATGTGAAAGTGAAAAAAGAGAGAGACTCGTGACTTTCCGGTTTCAGAAAAACCCAATGATTACCCTTAATTAAAACTGCTTGAATTGTATATATATCTCCATATATATATATATATCCAAGACAAGGGAAATGTAGACTTCATAAACATGGCTGTATAATTTTGATTTTTTTTGAATACGTTGTGTTTCTATATTTTTTTTGACGACAAAAGGTATGTACTTATAAAGGCATTTTTTTCTTTTGTTAACGTTATTAGCATATCTTTGTGCTTTATTATCCTGGTGACAGTTACCGTTCTATGTAGGCTGTGACTCGCGCTGCTTTTTTTAGAGCACTTGGCAAATCAGAAATGCTTCTAGCTGTATTTGTATGCACTTATTTTAAAAAGAAAAAAAAGCCAAATACATTTTCTGACATTGTAAGATTGCCTTACTGTCTGTTATTCCTTACTGCTGGCCCCTTTCTCAGGCTGGAGGCCTCTTGGTGGAGAAGGAAAGGAAAGGAGCGAAAGGGGCACTGCTGTCAAGCGGGCATGCCACTGGGAGATATGACCAGGTTTACCCCGAAACATTGTCCTTTCGGAAGAATAGGCAAATAGATTTTGACTCTCTATTTTGTTCTTAAAGTTTGGTTCTTGGGATATGATGACTGTCTGAAAGGTGCTGCTGGGAGATTTTCAGGATTGCGTGGTCTTTTGGGGGGTATTTTTTTTTTTTTACAACAAAGTTGACCACTGTTCACTGTCCACGTGATCAGTTGTAAGATTACAACGCTGCATGCTAGTTGGTTACATAAGACACAATTCCAGTGATGGAAGGCGGTTTCTAATGTGGTGGTGTGTACAAGATGGCACTGCCATCTTTGAGCAGGGCCTGGCTCTGCAGCGCCACTTCTTGTTCAACACCCTAGAGCTCTGTTCGTTGTTGCTGTTGTCCTTTCCTTTGGAAGGAGTCGCCAGAGAAGTTACAGTTCAGGTGAACTTGGAGATTGTGGGATTGGTTTTGTTTCTGTTTTGTGTTTTGTTTTTTTATCATTTACCTGTCGTGCTATTGCTGTTGATACTATCACCTACACCCTGTTTCTAGTGAGTGCTAAATACAGTATGGTACAAATGACAGTAACAGCCGCGTGGTGCAGCCAGGACTGCCCGTGGGCATATCAGTGACAGCCCGAGTGTGGGTGGAGGAAACCTGTAATTTCCTTCTTACGTGTGTTTGAAATACCAAGTGAATAATACTGTTCTTCTGGAAAGAAAATGATAAAACTAGTGAAAATTAAAGAAATTGAGGGTTTTATATAATAGGCCCCACCTCTCAAACTATTTTTAGAAGCCTTTTGTAAACTAATTTCTTTCGATCACTATTTTGCATCAGTAAAATGATTTTTTTAAACCAATAAATCATCGGTTATTAGAAATAGTTGTCTCACAGTGATACTGGTTTTTCTTTTGTACTGTTATGATTTAACATTGACAGGAACACTATTTAAATCCTTATGTTCAGGTGTCTGTAACTTGGCCTTATAATTAGGCTGAATCATGGCTTCAAGGTCTACTACGATTTCTGTGTATGGTTCACAGCCTACCTTCTATTTTAATTTGAAAATACAGTTTTACCAACTTTGGATTCTTTTTTGGTTATGTGTTTGTCTTTTTTAAATTGCTCAAAATATTTTTTAATGGTCAAGTTACTAACACTTGAAAGTCAGATACTGCACCAAATACAGTATTTTTTCTGTAGTGTTTTTAATGAGTGCACCTATTATTAATGCTGTGCGAATTCATATTACCAGTCATTGTTATAGTACAGACAGACTTGCATGATTAACCGGTTTGTTGTTACACTTTTTTTTTTTTTTTTTTAATTGGAGTATATATGACTCAGATCAGACTGGTCTCTCTTACGTGAATGCACACATGCAGAAACGCAGAGTCAATTTTACATGCCCGTAAAGACATTTGTAAAGAATTAAGCTATTATGGTCTGTTGTATAAATGTGTATCTAGGCACTTTATTATAACTGGAATTTGACCTCATAGATGTTACAACTTGATCCGTCATTTGACCTAATTTGTGGTAGCTATCTGTATGTTTTGCAATCTTAATACAGATAAGCTTTCCAAAAAGATTAATACAGAACCGTCCTGCTGTTTTGGATAAGTCTATCCAGCTGTGGAAAAGGCAACCTATGGTTTCTCTGTGCTGGTGATTAAGGGGGAGAATATGAACTGTTTTAAAGGGCTGCGTATTCCGGTTACTTCTGTTAAAAAATAAGATCTGCACTGGTCTGACTGGCCCTTGGGTGGCCTTCGTGGAAGGCTTGTAGCTGGAAAGCGTTGATTTGGATTATTTTTCTGGCATTCTTTTAAGTTAAAAAGTGATCACTGGGACATGGGCTTGATCTTTTGTTGCACCTGAAGACAGTGCAGAGATTCTCCACAGCTGGATAAAAATGGCAGAAAGCTACTTACTGTACATGGGCAGTATCAGATTTCAAATCCTAGTATTTCAGCTGTGCTTTTAATACTCAAAATATTAGGGGTTGGGGTGTTGAAGCTTTCCCTCTTTTGCTTTAACAGTTTATAGAATTTAACAGATGTACTGTCTTTCATGTGGCCTCACATTTAAAGTTATGAGAACGTACACATGGTTTACAACTTTTACTATATACCTTTCCTTGGCCACCAAGTATTTTAAAAGTGTGCCACCTTTTAACCTTTACTTTTTTTTTTAAGTTGAAGGTGATACTTTTTCTATATATGATGAAACTCATGTCAACTGAAGTGAGTGTAATTTCAGATATCAACATTATATTTTAAAATCACGCTATGGAAATATCACCTGCATTCTGTCATTTGTCAGATTTACAGTACCTTTCTTTTTTTCTTTAACTTTTAGCATTAAATAAAATAAAATTGGGAGCACTGAACATTTTCTGAGGCCTTTTTTAATTTTTTTAAAGTAAGCTTAGAATGGCTGCTGTTTTAATCACTAATGGCAGTGTGACTAAAGGATGTGTGCGTTTGGGCTTGGGGTTGGCCTGGAACTGCAGGAGATAAAAGACATGAAACAAAACTGCAACTGATGGTAGAAAAAAGTGCTAGGGACTGGGGAAAGGGCAACTGGATAGGGGAGACCGATAAAAGAGCTAAACAAAGTACAGCTAGGAAGCACTTGTTTATTTTTCAACCAGCAGTAGAGCCAGCCATTCTGCAACAGTAGACTGGAAGGAGAAGACAGTGATGACATTGAAAAGACTGTCAAAGACCTAGAGTTGCTCTTTGGAAAACTTTGGAATAAAACAGCCATGTCGAGCCATAGGAAATCCACTCAAGACAAAAGGGGGGGGGGAGGAAAGCCCTACATCTGGAAAGCTTTGGCATGAAGTGAGAGCCAAAGCCAAATGTGAGCTTTACTGATACCCTGAAACCTAAATTTATAGAGATAGAAGGTAGAAAGCGCTGAGATGACATTGTAAAACTGCTGCCTACTATCACATAGTAAGAGACTTTTCCTAGATGTTGCAGCTTTTACTCTTTTTATTGATCAATGGCTTGGCAGGCTTCTCTATGAAAGGAAGTTGTGAAACTTACAGAGTCTGAGGCTAGGATATACATAGACTTACTACATGTTTTAAACAGCAACAGTGAATGTGCACTAGAATATATTTACATTAGGGGTGGTCCATTGGGGGACCCATCGCTATGTTTATTTTTAATAGCTTTGTCCCTATTAGTAGTCCATTTAAGGTAGTTTTCAAGAAACCATATCCTTAATGAGTTATTGATTTTTCATTTAATAATTAGGTTAAAAGAAATAGGTTAAGCTGCTAATCTCTTTATTTCCTAATTTAAAATGCTAAATTTTATTTTTAGCAAAATTTAAAATAGTGCCACTTACAGAAGTCATTTTTAATATTTCAAAGCCTCCTCCCCAAGAGGAACTGTAATGATTGCATTTAATTTTCAGTAAAAATAATAATAATAATAATAATAAACCAGACTCTTGATGTAGCAGATGTGTTTGTTTATTCCCCAAAGACGGGTGGGAGAGACCCAAAAGGAAAATATGGAGCCCTTTCTAATTCTTAGACTTTTAAGTCTCTCTTTACTCAAAGTTGTTTTGCGTATGATTTATAGATGGTTTTATTTGGTTCGTGAAGAGTCAAATGTTTCTCTTCCTGATTCCTAAGTGTATACGTGGAATCATTCAGAAAAATGTTCAGTTGTGTGTAGGCCACTAGAAGTCCTGAGTCACCCTCATTTGCTTGCCTTTTGTTCATAGGGAACAGTGCGAGAAGACACGCCTTTCCTCTGTCACATACCAAGGTCAGATGCACCAATGAATGGAATACATGTTTACCCAATTTATCATCTGGGGCTCCAGAAATGGAGAGGGGAGGTATCTTAACTCCTTCGGTGCCACTGGCTAGTCCTTTGACAGCAAAAGTAGTACAATCAAGTAAAAATTACAGGTGTGACTTTTCAGATTATAAACTAGCTAGATCCCTGGTTGCTGTTTCTTGTTGACAGCCTGCATTTTCCTGAATATTGACCAGCCCCTCACTGCAATTTAAAAGGCACAATTACTTGTTACTAAATTACTGGTTAAGAGATTGGAAGATGGAAAATGAGTGGATTTATGGATTATCCATGGATTCTCTACTCTCATAAATCCATAATTAGAGATATCCACACTACCTTTTTAACAAATTATACCTAAAGTAACAGTGAACTTTGTTTTAACCCCTCAGTGTGTCATCTGCTCCCTCCCCATGTCCATACAACTTAACCTAAAATGCTGGATCTAAAACAGCATTCCAGTTAAGTTGAAGTACAACTTTTTCAAAAGTATTACAGAATATGAAATTTAATTGCACTGTCGTTTATCACAGACTATTGTGCACTTCTGCACGGCAGTGAGCAACATAAAACAATCCATACAACCCACCGAAGAGGTATTTTTGGACAACGAAACTATACCATAGGCAGATCCTTATTTAGAATCATTTAGGCATTGTATCTTAGAAGCTGTTCTTTTTCATTTGAAAAACAATTGCGTGAAATTTACTTAGGAAACAACCCTGTTAGAATGTGAGAGACCATTTCTTCTACGATCTTAAACATTTCTTTGGAAAAATGTAGAATGGCCCTTTACGCTAACTCAAAAATCATAGAGTAACAAGTATGGCGTGCAAGTAAAGCATCACAAAACCAGCCACGAAAGAAGTCTCTAGACGATTTCCTCCTAGGACAGACAGGTCTGGAGACTGGACTACAGGATTCCTAGTTTAAACCGAGAGCTTCAACACACTGGTTGAGCTCATCCTGTGAATGGGCTTTTAGAAGTCAGATTGCATCACCCAAGGAGCATCCTCCAACAGCTCAGCAGAAGCACTTGATGCTAAGATAAGACATCCATCCTGTATAGGGTAACGATGTCACATTTGAATATTGCTAAATAGAGTGTCCATTTGGGGGAAAATGAACTATGTTACATAATCTGTAGATCACATCACTTACCACTTTTACTTAGCAACTAGTATTTCTAAGTATATCATCACCAGTCAGCATTCAGGTGCCCATTAGAGGACAAGCGTCATGCACAAGTGAGTCAGGTTGTGTAGTGAAGGCACACAGGTAGCAGCAACTTTAGCAGATTAAATAATTAGGTCGTTGCAAGTTTCTCTGACATTTAGAAAACACCTCTCCTCTAACCGTTCAAATGAAGTATTTTGAACTGTGTGTGTGGCGGTTTGTGTCTGGGTGGACTGCACACCAAAAACATTTCACCAGAGCTAAGGGTCTCTATTTTCATGTGCGGAAATACTTTATTAAAAGTGAACCTCAAACGACTGAGATTTGCCTTCTCTTATCTTTATATATTGGTCCCGTTTCCTTAGTAAGAGTCCTGCAGAGAAGTGATATGTAGTAGTAGGGATAGTCTGGGGCAGAATAAATCAGCATTTCTTTACACACAGCCTTGGGCCTTCCATGTTTTCCCCAGCCTGAGAAACTGTATGCGCCTGAGAAACTATATGTGTGTTGCAAGACAGAAAAAGCGGCTGTGAGCTTTAACCCAGGCTGAAAGCCCATTACCCTCATTTTGTTATTTCTGCCGGCAAACAGCAATTCAATTAGCTTTTCTGGTGATAAAAGATAAAGATTTATTGTATCCCATATACAACTGAAATCAGAATTTCACAGGAGGGTCACAGTCATTAGGCAGTTTTGGAATACTATTCTTATAACAAGGACCATATGGGTTGTTGCTGTTATTACTTGACACCTACTAAGCGGGCACCTCCTTCTAGACTCTGAACAGCTGGGAGTCTAGGCCCCGGCTTCTGTGCAGCTCAGGGTCAACGCCACAAGCAGGCAAAGTCCGTTTGCTCGGTTAAGGGCACCCAGTGACGAGAGTTCACCACGAGCTGGCTTCCTCCCAGGAGTGTGGAGACCAGAGTTCAGGCTACATTCTTAGGCGAAGAAGTGAATCTCTTCCTGGAGTCTGTATCGGAAACCCAGGGTCGGATGCGGACCCTGGAACGCAGGCCGCAGTCCGCAGCGATTTCGCACAGTGCGTCCATGATGCCCGGGCAACTCTCCGGCATCAAAGGGCCGCTGGGCTCCGTCTCCGCACGCCTCGAGGCCCGGGGAAGCGACGGGGCGGCAGGGCCGTGGCCGAATCGTGGCTGTTTCTTTCTCTGGCTTTCGGTCCATGTTCGGAATGGCGTCCTGCTTTCTGTCTGTCGTTTTGCGAAAGGGAGGGAGCCTCCCGCTCCGCCGAGCCCTGCTGCCGCGAGGGGAAGGAGAGGGGAGGAGGCCCCTCGCCCTCCCGCCGCCCGCGAGGCCGCCGAGGACCCCGCGGGGCGGCCCCGAC